TTTTTATACTACATTTATCCATTTTAAATATACTAACCTAACACTTTGTAACAACTAAGGCAAAAATGTCATTAATTCAGAAAATCTTTTCAGGACCCCACCGTGATGTTTCGGGACCCCACTTTGGYTCCCGACCCCAACTTTGGGAAACACTGCTCTACTGTATGCACCCGTTATACAGTGAAACAACGTTTAGGGGTGTAATAATCCTCCTGAACAGTTGGTGGCAGTGTTTAACAGTTTGAAACATCAACAAGCTCTATCACTGAAGAGTAATTACAAGGTTTTCCTTATATACAGAACATATGCCTATGTAATCTGACTTATGGTGACAAATGTTTTTATTTTTTTATTTATTTATTTAAATTTTATTGTTGTTGTTGTTGTTGTTGTTGTTGTTGTTGTTGTTGTTGTTGTTGTTTTCATTTTATGTTCTGAAGGCTGCATGATGCCCTGTCCTTTCTGGTTATGAGTAGACCTATCACTAAATCAGAAAAAGTGAAACACCCCTCTAAATTCACTGTTGGTGGTTATCAGTATTGCACCTGTTCGTTGGGTAAAGTTTTTAATATTAGTTTTAAACATGCAGTTCATGGTCATCAATTGGCACAATGACGTGTTACAATTAAAGATAAATAAATAAACAATATAAAAGTAAAAAAGCAACCCTAAAGTCACTGGATATGATAAATTGTGTCACTTTAATTAATCTTATCTCAGATATAGCAGTGAGTTTAAAAACAGGATGAAGGAACTAGATTAATGAGTAATCTGTCTCTGAAATAATTATTAAATCAAGTGTTTATTCATGTAGGTAAAAGTACATTTAACAACCTGGTAAAATACACCAGAAAGCAGGAAATGGCATCTATTTCATTCAAAAATTTCTGGGGGAGGAGCCCCAGACCCCCCAACAGTGTGTCCCCCAACTTTCAAAATGGTTCTGACGTCCATGTTTATAAGGTACTCACTGCCTGTATAACGACATAAGGAAATGACCAAAACACAAAGATCTGCAGACACTTTCAAGTAAAAACACGGTGTAATTTTCCTGGCCGCCCCTGTGTGAGTAGTGGTCCCAGTCTGGCCACCCCTGAGAAAAATGTCTGTCTCCACCACRGCTTGACACACACTGACGTGAGCCAGAGGGCAGATTTTAGGCCTGTCAAACTGAGTCCAGAGCTAAGACCAGTCAGGGTCACTTTCCTCGAAGGAACACTCCAAGCAGATTTTCTCAAACACTAGAAAGGCTTGTTTAATCATGATTTTCTTTGAAGGAATCACATCCAACAGGTCATTTTTGTTGTTTTGTTGTGTTGCAATCGAAGAGGCTTAAAAGCTTATCGCCCAGTTTTCAGATCCTGCGTTGTCTTCAGCAGATTCCCTCCAAGGAGTTTTCTGTGAGTTTTATGGGGATTCTGATGTTATCAGTCCATGAGATGGACGTTATRAGGCGTTAACTGCCTTCCCTGCAGGACACAAACTATGTAACCTAAAAATTTAAATGATGAGGCTGAAACACGGCAGCAGGAAAATTTTGCACTTTATTACCACAAAAATGCTTTTAATGACGTCTCCTGTTTTTAACTCTTAGTTTTGAGGTGTCTTTTAATTTTTATTTCTAATGAAGTTTGTTTTTGTTTGTGCGCAGGTAGTTCTCATTGCCTTCCTGTGTTTCCCTCTGTGCCATCAACCAGTCTCTGCTCCGCCCACTCTCACCTGTTCCCAGTTCTCACCAGCCCCTGTCCAGAAAACCTGTTTTCACTCCCCCTGCACTTGGGTAGTTTGTTTTTCATACCACATCAGTCTCTTTGTGTTTCTGTTAATGTTTTCGTTTTCTATGMTTCTTAAAATTAAACTTTTTACTGAAGCTCCTTTTAAAATAAAAGCTCCCAAACAAAGATGTTGTGTAATCTGTTAGCGCTCAAAATAAGTAACGAGGACGACTCACAGATTTTTTTGGCACCGAATTTTAGCTGTAAAAACCAGCTAATGTTGATTAGTTGTGCTCCTTTTGAATGGGATTGACTCTGAATATTAATAATTTGTAAATAAAAGTTCTGTGATTTGCTGAGAGTTTCATTAAAATTCATCTAGTGGTTTGTGAAATAATTTGCTGCCGGGCAAACACATGCACATTATTGCCCAACTTTTGTGGCGACAGGCGATAATAATCAAGTTTTGTTAAATTTGATAATCAACATCTATTCTATTAATATGTCTTGTGAAAAAATACATCATATTTCTGTATGAATAATTTTAAATAGAGTGCATTCACTAATTGTTACACTTAAAAGTCTAGGATTTTTAATTTTGGCCTGTTGAGACCATCAGTCAAATCTGAGCTTGTTTAAAAACTTCATGCGAGTCAGCTGCAGCCATTTTCATGATGTCAGTGATTTTCCTCTGCAGTGGATTCTGTTCTTGGAACTCTGTTAYTTTCCATTCACACCATGAGTCACGAGGGCCGATATTGTTTTATCTGTTACCCAATATAGAATCCACGTAAGGGGGCCTTCCTGTCAGAATAAAAGCTCTCAAAAATACACAGAGTTCTAATCTATTTCACAGCAAATCCGAAAGTGTAAATTTAATACTATCAAAGTTAAAATTAACACTCGTGCAGATTTTATATGGTAACCACTACTTCAGTGTTAAATTAACTTATAAAAGTGTTAAAATTATTAACACCAATTAGGAGTTAAAGCTACAGTGGGTAAAATAAATATTGAACACGTCACCATTTTTCTCAGTAAATATATTACTAGAGGTGCT